ATATATATATATATATATATTTATATATATACAGGTATATAGATAGCTAGATAGATACAAAACATGGAATATATTGGGGAAAAAAAGAAAAGAATTGATAAAATCTGCAGGTACTGAACTGCGAATATGCAGGAGTCGACAGTCATTTTAAGTGGTTATAAAACCAATTAAAACTAGATGGCAGACTTGTCTTAGTTTGCCTACCCTGTGTCTTACACTGCCCTTAATTACGTGAATAAGCGTACTAATTTGTTTGCGGATTTGGAATGACCTTCAGGAAAAACATAATTTGTCAATAATTGGAAATACTGGATTTTAGTATGCGTATTTTTGTGAAAACAAGTTCTTGCACTCAATGTTGGTGTCTTTCGCAGCGGTTTTATGCAGTCCTTGAATGGTCATTTTTAGGCGAGAGCGCGCTTTGCACTGGTAACAAAAAAAAAACATAGGATGCAGTTATTTTGTTTGTTGCTGGTTTGGGATAGTTGGTCCTTTATACATGTATTGGAAAACGTAGTATCAAAAATGAACTGTATGAAGAGCACATAGTTTGTACGTATGCACAACATTTTGTCTTTATGTAAAAATAGCATTTTTGTCACAAATATAGTTCGGAAGTCCGTGGTCCTATGTGACACCCCCCACCCCTATCCCAGTAGGACTGATCAAAAATTGTGGACCCTGTACACCTCATGTGCCTATGAGACATTGAAACCAAACAGCAAATAAATTCATGACATACAATATAAACTAAAGACATTGATAAAGTAAGTCGTTTTTCAAAATCAATTAGTCCAACTATGTTCAAGGCCCTTTTTACACAGGACCTGTGTCAGGTTGTGAATACAAACTGAACCCTTTAAGCAAGAGTTCAAAAGTTCACATTGTATTTTCAGCTTGTTGTGTTTTAAGCACTGGATTGATTGTTAACTTGAACCTCCCACATTTGGCTTGAGAGCAACAGTCAGCACAACAGAGTTTGAATTACAACTCTCACAATGACCTTGTGTCTGTAAAACTGCCATTCAGTTTTGTTATGTCACATGAGTCGGGAGTTTGTGAGAACATTTCATTACTTTCGGCTGTTTTGGTCAAAAGTTATGGAAATAAGTTTCCTGACCTACCATATACTGAAGGAACTGCAATTATGACAATCTTTTACTCTTTGGGTGTAAAGTCATTTTCAGCACTCTTAAACTGTCACACTGATGATGATGATGATGGGTAGGCTTCATTTGTCATAAGGAGGAATGAAAAAGGATTACATTATACTCACTGGGTGAAAATGTATGACCAATGTGCCCTGATGAAGTCCCAAGCCAGGGACTGACCGATCACATTGTTGGCAATGTAGACAATGGTGGAGGTGGCATCCTGCTTTCGGATCAACTTGGAATCCAGTGTGTATTCCAGGTACCTGAGAAAACCCCCACCGAATTCATTTTTGTCATTTA